ACGTAAACCCTCTATTCACAAAAGAACTGCTTCTAGCTGTGAGACTTATTCCTAGTTTCTCAAGCATTTAGAGCCAAATCTACAATTTTTATTGAGCGAATCATTTGCCTGTTAAAAGCTTTACATTCCAGGTGAGCAGATAAAGTGCTAATTTCTATAGTACTGGTTAGTACAAAAAAATAAAAATAAAATAAAATGCGACAAGCTCAACTGGGAACAATTTCTAACCCAGAACAGAACTTTATAGACTCATTATGGCTGTTTCACTATGTCCCAGGAACCATTTTAAGACCTCTAGGTTACATCAAAGAAAACCCCCAACTTCATTTCCCTAACAGCCCTGAGGTGGGTATTACGAGTCTCCATTTTCACAAATGAGAAAATGAGGCTCAGAGATGGTAGGTAGCCTGCCCAGGGTACAGCACAAGCAGCAAGGTCAGGAAACCCTGCTTGTCGACTTCAGAGCTCAGGCCCTTTACCACAATTTGATAATGCCTCTCAAAACAAAGACAAGTCAGGTCCAGAGTCACTAAGTGACTTGCCAAAAAGTCTCACTGGCTGAGTGTAGCGAGAGACTTCATGGAAGTGTGACTCCAGCTGAGCTTAAAAAGGTGAATGGTGGAGAACTGGGAGCAATGGGTATGCCAGACAAAAACCAAAGGTGCTGTTACAGCAAACCTCAAGGCAAACGTATGTTATCAGTGAACCAAGATGCTCTTATTTTAATCAGTGGACAGAGAAAGAAGACAAGCTCTCTGGAATGAAAAGGCAACCAATATTTAACATATAATTCTTCTCAATCATTTGCACATATTAACTCAATTAATTCTCTAAACAACTTTATGAGACGGATTTCATTATTTTCCCCATTTTAAAATCGGGGAAGTGAAAAGTATAGGGGAAAAATAACTTGCCCAAGTTCATACCAACTAAGTGGCAGATCTAGATCAACATTGATCTAGTGGCAGATCAAACCCAACATTCTAACTTCAGAATCCGTGTTCTTAAAATCTACAGGCAGGAGGACTGTGACATGCGGCATTCCCCCAGCAGATTTAGAAGAATCCAATGTCGTTTTATGGAACCAACAGTGGGAGGATGGACCATACAACCTCTCTGAACAAGGAAGTTCAGGATGCAGAGGTCCATGTCCAATCCTTCAGACTTCTAAGACAGTTCTGAGATAAGCTCGTCTTTCCAATACCGATTTTGGAATATCCTCTCCCGCCCACCTTTACAATTCATGGATTGGGGTGGGGTATCCATACCTATCCTATACACACCTGCAGGCTTTCGGTTGTACTTGAAGACTTCACAGAACACCAGCTTGTTGGGGTCCTTGCGGAAAGGGTCCCGAAACATGGCAGCAGGGACGAGATACATGTCACTGTTGGAGCCTTCGGATTGAAAAGTACTAGAGCCATCAAAATTCCACTCCGGCAACTCTGGGGTAAAAAGAGAGGGGAAAATTATAGTTAAAATGCACAGGAACTTTTCAGATCTTCACAAGGTCTATACTCTCTTGTCCAGAAAGCCAGTGAGGCATGCATGACTGCCACTATTAACACGCAAACCCTGATGTCTGCAGGTAGCCCTACAGTCCTTCCTATCTGAGTTCCAAGTAAGACCATTGCATCACTTTCCTAAAAGAAGTAACAGTCACAAGAACAACCTAAGAATGACGTTTCCTCTGTAAATAAGTCTACTGGACACCAAGGAGACAAACTAGATATCACCAGTCAGTCAGTCAGTCCTCATTTAAAGTATTGAAATAGGAGAAATAAAGATTTTCTGAGAGCCAACTGTGTTGCTTCTTTCTCTAATTCCTCCCCCCACTGTGTGACGGACTGTCCTAGTTCAAGTGGTGTCCTTATTTTAACAGATGAGGAAACAGACACTAGCCGGATGACTTATTCAACGGTGCTCCCATGTCACTTATCCACACTATGTTTTAAAGGCCAGTTCCTTCATCACTCCAGTTGACTATGAGTTCTCCGAAGGCAGAGACCAGACTCTCATCGTGTATTCCCAGGGCCTATCCAATACGTGCCACATAGCAGGTGCACAGTATATGCTTTATATTACAGTCATTCATTCATTTGCTCAAATGTGAACATTATCAGAAGAGTAACCTAACCTAAAAGCAGGTAAAAGATGACGGCCCACAGTCCCTTTCCAGAAGGAGAGCGGCTATGGTTTGTTCTAGACCAAAAGAATTAAGTTGTCACAACTCATATAATAGCTCCTGTAGGATAAGCAATCAGCCAGTTTAAGAATTTCCAGAAGTGGCATCAACTAAAAACTAATGATGGCTGGTCCTAGAGACCACTTTAGGGTGTTTGTTTTGCATGTAGAACCTCAGTGACACATGAGTCTGAAACAGCATTCAAAGAGTTTGTAAAGTAGATGGCATAGTCAGGTTAGAGAGGTGGTTTTCAAACTGGGTTCCTGGCGGTACCTTAGGGCCAATTAAGTAGGACTGCCCAAGTAAACAAAGTTTCCAACCCCTCTCGCCCCCAGACCTAGTCTCTTTTCCTTCAATATACTGGCTTACACGCAAGATTTCATTTAAATGAAGGGGTCCATTGCTGTTATGCTTGGAGGCAGTGTAGGAGCTTAATGTTGGCTGAATGAAGTCTGAAAAGTCCTGCCTTCGAAAAGCTTTACAAACAGAGGCCAAATCTAGTGGCTTGGTCTCAGGCTGCCACCCACCCTCGCGCTGCTCCCAGCCAGCTCAGTCTCTCACCTTCTATACACTTGGGCTCACAGTCCAGGGTCCGGGTCTTGCAGCGCAGTCCTTCTCCAGTACCATCAATCCAGATATACATAGCTTGGACTTTCTCACCCTGAGGCAGGGACATGTACACCTGCTTGATGCCTTTGTTCAAGTGGGAGCTCGCTGAGGTGGCCATGGTGGAAGGTGTTCTGGAGAGAGACAAAATAAAATAAAATAAGAACACCAACTCCAAACAGATCCTCTGACGCAATAAGGAAAACTAAATCAAGAAGCAGTGGGAATGGTGGCCCCTCCCTTTGGAAGTCACACACTCAAAAGTACAGTACATTTATTTAACTTGCTTTCAGGGAGATTAAACTTTTATACTAGACAAAAGTCTCCTTATAAGCTTCCTCAAACCAGAATCTAAACTTGTGAGCACTAAGCTCTACATTTTGCAGTTTATCAGAGGTAGAGGAATTGTTTCATTTTCACACTAAGATACTAGAGGAAGAAAAAAACCCCAGAACACAATGAAGACACAGAAGTTCTGAAACAGAAAGTCTGCCGAACAGACATCGTCTCCAAGTAAAATCCAGCCACAGAAAGGCTTGGCTGCTATGATCTCTGGGTTAAGTCTTCCCGTTTCCTTACACCCCAGAGGTTATCTCAGTAAAAAGGCCTTTTGAAGATTCCTCCACCCTTCCAAAAAACAAACACCCTCCCACCATTTAGTTGGTAGGATGAAACAAGGGGGCTAGCTAGAAGATTTAAGAGACTGGTGGCTCCCTAGAAGAACAGCAGTTATTACAATTACCAAGATGTAAAAAATAGCCAATCCAAGTTGGATTCTAAGATACACGATGGCATAATTTGCATCAGTCTGAGGCAAAGTTCTCACTTCAGACAGGAGATTTAAGTTTGACCAGATTCCACCAGAGAACTTTTCAAGTAATTAAGAAATTCCCACTTCTAAATCAAAAAGCTCTGGGGTTTCAAAAGCTGAGGCATGCTAAAAACTGCGAGGCTCCACCGCAAAACCCCTGAAAGAAGAGACACTGAAGCCACAAAACCAAACCTCAACATTAAGAGGAAACGTTCTACCTCTCCCTCTGCTGTCGACAGCCCAGGGTGGCTGGAAAGGGAACACACTGTTCTCCTCAACGACTTGGGTAACTTTCTCAAGTACAGTGGCAAAGTTTCTATGGGCAACCGTCCATGTTTGCCCAGCTGAAAACATAACTTCTCCCTCCAACAGCCTCACCCTTCCCCCCGACCCCGCCGAGACGCTGTCCGTCAAGCAGTGTTAGCAGACAACCACTACCTTTGCCTACTCCCTGTAGAAGACTTGGTCAGTCAAATCCCACCGTCAAGCAGTGTTAGCAGACAACCACTACCTTTGCCTACTCCCTGTAGAAGACTTGGTCAGTCAAATCCCACCCCCGACGCCCATCCTGCCTTTAAAAGCCAGAGGGAGCAATCCCTGACCCTTTCAGCTCCCACTAAAAGCTATAACCCGGTCTCTGGCTTTCGTCCCCAACCTGTTACACCTTCAATTTCAAACCACGCTGTCTCCCTTTAAGCCTCGGATCCTGCTCTTTTTGGTGATGAGTTGCAGGCCAACAGCCTAGTCTACTGTATCAACTGGTGCCGCCGAGGTGCCAAGATTACATGGTGGGTGCTGGGAGGGATGGGATTCTGCAGTTTTTAACTGTTTCTGCAGCTGCAGTGGGAGCCGCGGTCCTCATCCCTGCTCCTCACTCACCCCAGCCACATAAGGTCAACGGTATCGATGCCCTCCTTAGCCTTTCTCCTTTTCGAGTGGCGTTCGCGCCTCTCGTGGGTCTCCGACTCTCGCTGGTCCAGGCACCGGAGCTTTCTGGGCGAGGGAGACGGAGAGGGAGAGGGAGTTGGAGAGCGGTCGGGATCGGCCCGGGACGAGCTGGAATGCGAAGGCTGGTGGGTCAACGTCTGGATCTTGACTCGCGGTTTCTCTCTGGCGTTCACTGAGTAGGCGACGAAGCCGAAGCAGTTGGAGGGGGACCCCGAGGACCGAGACTCCAGGTCGTCACCTTCGTTCGTGGTCTTCTTCACGGATTTGCGGCCAAGGGAGGATCCCCGCTTCCCGCCCCCGGAGTGGTTGGGATAATCCACTTTGAGAGCAGCCCTTTCCCACAGAAAGGTCCCGAAAGTCGGCGCCCCGCCCCTTGGGCCCCAGTCTGGATCTCAGGGCCTAGCCGAGGGGGCCATCCCTCTCCAAGGCCAGGGCTAGGAGGGTAGGGGGATGGGGACATCCGCCGGAGGGACAGCGTGCCGCTGCTGCCCCTGTCCGGCCGGACAGGCCTCTCCACCCGCCGCGCCCGCCGGCCATGCCGCATCCCGGGCTCCCCATTGTTCAGTCACAGGGGTAGGCCCCCGGGAGCCCGCGGCGGGGGACGCTCACTGCCCCTCGCCTCCGCGCAGGCGGCTAACCGCGACGACCGCCCCCGGGCCCGCCTCCGCGGAAGAAGAGAGCGAGGCTCCAGCAGGGGACCACTCCATCCACCACGCACACCACACGGCCGAGCCGGGGGCGCCGGGCCCGGGCTGTTCCTCCACAGCTCGCCCTGCCGAGCGACCTCCAGGGGCGGCGCTTCGGGCTGCAAGCAGCTGAAGGAAGATCAAAAGAGCTCCCCGCCCTTCTCGAAGCCCTGGCGACTCGCGCGCCCCGCCATCGCCGACCCAGACCCGCCGGGAGGCACGGGCGGCGGAAGCAAGCGGGAGGGCCCGCAGGCCGGGGCGCAGAGTAGATGCAGGAGGTGGGAAGGGGCCGAGCCGAGCTCAGCCGATCGCTCAGAGCGCGGCGGCTCGGGAGGCGGCGAGGGCGGCGCGCGACACTTCCGAGCCCCCCGGGCCGGCCAGGCGCTTACCTGGGCGGCGAGCAGGCGGCAGGGTGGGCAGGCCGCGAGAGCGAGGTGCGGAGAAGAGAGGCGAGGAGGCCGGGAGAACTGCTTACACAGCCGGCTCTTCTGCCATTCTCGGCTCTGCAGGGCCGTCTGCGGCCCCTCACGCTTTATCGGCAGCCGGGGCCGCCCCCGGCGCCCTGATTGGCTCCCAGAGGCCCGGAGCCCGGGCGGATCAGCTGATG